GGATTTGTGTGGATTAACCAACAGATTCCCCCCGTGTGATAACGTCCCTAGTGTTGTCAAACTGCATTATTTCTGCAGTGTAGATGCAGCCTCAGTCTCCCATCCAAGGCAAGAGCAAACCTCCTCGGGGAAAAAATCTTGCCAAGAAAAACCCAAGGTACCTGAGAAATTTGACCAAGATGGGCAAACCAAGTTGTATGACTAACCAGCATAGATTATTGGTTATATTTAGCTTGGGGAAAAAGAAGGCTAAGAAGTGACGTGACAGCCATCTTCAGATATCTGAAGGGATGTCATGGACTGCATCTGCACTGCAAAGATAATCCAGTTTGATATCGCTTGGCTCCATGCTATGAGATCCTGGGCATGAGAGCTCTCTGACAGACTAGAGCTAGCTAATGTACAAAACTACAAATCCCAGAAATCCCCGTCAGTGAGCAATAGCAGTGAAAGTGGTATCAAACTGCATTATTTCTGCAGTGCAGATGCAGCCACGTAGACGATGGAGCCAGCTTCTTTCCTGCTGCTTCCGAGACTGGAAGATGGATGAATCAAGGGCTTGTGCATCTCTCAGCCTCCGAGGAAACCAAGGGCAAAACCCTTCTGAGCAAATCTTGCCAAGGAAAAAGCAGGGCAGGGTTGCATACGACAACAACTTCACTATTAAGGCTTCTTTGATCCTGTTTCCAAGCAAAGCCAACAAGGATAAAAGACCCCTTTTCCTATCATCTTATGCAGAGAGGTCTTTCACCAGTAAGTATGGAAAGTTGCCTTATATACTTAGACTTCATCAAAGGCTGCATCTGCACTGCAGAAATAATCCGGTCTGACACCACCAAATTCCACAGCATTGAGCCCCGGCAGTGAAAGTGGTGTCAAACCACATTATTTCTGCAGTGCGGACAGCGGTTGACAAACTCTTATTTATTTTGGACTTGAGCTCCCCTGCCAACTTGGCCAATACTCAGGAATGATGGGAGCTGAAGTCCAAATCATTTGGAGGACCAAAGGTTGGGAACCACTGCTCTAGCCCAATATTATCCACTCTGACTAGTCGCCATGTCTCATCGGGATTTCAGGGACGGTTCTTTCCGAAAATGACCTGGCACCCCTTCTAGCAGTCCCAGGAAAAGCCTTGGTTAGCTTCCCAAAACAAAATCAGATCTGTTTCAGTCACTTGAAATATAATAATGGTAGACTCCAAGCTGTGCCCATTATACTTTTTAAGCACCAATTACTTAGGAATGCAGAAAGATGCCTTTATAGTGAATCACATCCTTGGTCTGTTCTAGTCCAGTCCATTGTTAATGTGTACCTTCAAGTCCTTATGGCAACCCCATCATGGGGTTTCTTGGCAAGAGTTGTTCAGAAGAGGTTCCTCATGGCCATCCTCTGAGGCTGAGAGAGCGTGACTTGCCCAAGGTCAACCAGTGGTTTTCATGCCTGAGCTGGGATTCGACCCCCAATCTCCAGAGTTGTAGTCCAACACTCAAACCACTATGCCATGCTAGCTCTCAGCCCATACCATACCAGCCAACATTTTGCAGATGAAAACGGGGACACAGGTGTAGCCAAGTAACACAAGAATGTAGTCAAGAGAGCAAAAAATATGAATACCAAAGAATACATAGGCTGCCGTGGTTCCCAAACTTTGGTCCTCCGGGTGTTTTGGACCTCAGCTCCCAGAATCCCTGAACATCAGCCTAACTGTCATAGAAT